GTCCTCTTATAAATTTTAACTGTATATTTATTTATTGTTTTAATATGTTGTAAGCCGCCCATAGTCCCCCATTTGGGGGAGATGGGTGGGGACAAGTTAAATAAATAAATAAATACTGCACCATATGAAGCTTCTGGATGGTCTTCAAGTGAAGCCCCATGTAGAGCATGTTGTAATCCAACTGCAAAGTGTTATAGGCATGAGTTACTGATTAAAGCAGTGGTTCTTGAACTGGGAGTAATTTGAGCACACCCTTGGGGGCAATGGAGCAATTTGTAATTGCTTGTTTGTGAGCTGAGGATCCAGTTTGGTTGTGTAAAACAAGAATCTGTTTTGTGTGTGTTGGGAGGAAGGGGTAATGACATTATTCAAGACGTGAAAAAAAGGTAATTTGGTCAATCAGTTTATGAACGATTTTATTAAAGCCTCTTGATCCAGGAAAGGCCATTAGTGTTATACAAGGCACTCTTGGCCATGGCTTCAACCTGTTATTCAAGCAGGAGCCATTCATCCAGGAGGAACTTCAACTTGTGGCCCTGCTCAGTTCAGGGCAGTGCTGTTCCGTCCAGTCAAAGATAGACTCTGAATTTAGTTGGTTTCCAAATTCACAGCCACTGTTTTGGTAGGATTCCATGTGAGTCTGTTTCTCCCCAGTCAGACCCTAACAGCCTCCAGGCACCAGGTCAGAACCTCCATTGCATCTTTCACCTAGCTCAGGGTAGGGATATATAATTGGATATCATCAGCATATTGATGATATCTCACTCTATGCCAGCAGTTAACCTCTTCCAGCAGCTTCATGTAGATATTAAACAATAGGAGGAAAAGGATCAAGCTCCACATCACACCATAACTGAGTGGCTAAGGGCATAATCTCTCCCCATTTACCCCTGCCACCAATTGGAACCAGCCATTCAGGGGAGAAGAAAACCACTGAAGAATAGTGTCCCTTATTCCCAATCTTCACAGTCAGTGCAGAGGATACCATATTCAATGGTATCAAAGGCTGCTAGAGATCCAGCATAACTGGGATTTGTGCATTCCCATATTATCCTTGATTATCCCCATATTATCCCTTCAAGATAAACAGATACAGTGGTACCTCGGTTCATGAACTTAATTCGTTCCACGATTCTGGTCGTGAACCGAATTGGTCACGAACTGAATCAAATTTCTCCATAAGATTCAGTGTAAATAAGGTTAATCCGTTCTGACCCCTATGAACGTGGTCGCCAACCAAATCAAATTTTCCCATAAGGTTCAATGTAAATAAGGTTAATCTGTTCTGAACCATATGTATTTTTTTTTTTTAACCACAAAAATATGAAACACAGTACAGGTGATCTCACCTAGAGGAAGCCACGACCACGTGTCAGAGCAGGGAAGCTGGCTGCGGGTCGTGTTCGTCACCCGATGCGGAGTTTGCGAACGGAAGCAAACTTTTGCAAACGTTGTTCGTGAACTGAATTGTTCGTGAACAGAAGCGTTCGTGAACCGAGGTATTACTGTAGTCAGGAAACAGGAGTCACTAAGAGTCTATGAATCAAAGTGACAGTTGTTTTGAGTTTGTTTCTCATATTTTCCGAAGACAGATATTTTTTGTAACTGCTCCACATTCTCTTGATATTCCATCATACCACTGGTTTAGACTGCTTTAACAGGACAGGACAAATTCATGGAGAAGAGGACTGTAAATAGCCTATGGCTTTTACTTTCAATGTCTGCTTATTACTTTGTTTTTTGCCTTTGAGTCAGCGTTGACTCCTTGTGACTGCCTGGACAAGTCCCTGCGGCTTTCTTGGAAAGATTTCGGAATTGCCTGCTTTCTAGGACTGAGAGAGTGTGACTGGCCCAAAGTCACCCAGCTTGGCTTTGTGCCCAAGGCGGGACTAGAATTCGTATCTCCCAGTTTCTAGCCTGATGCCTTTACCACTATACCGGACTGGCTCTTTACCTTAAACTGAGGTTATATCTTGAATACCAGCTGCTAGAGAGATATGAATGATGATTATCTCTGTTTTAGCAATATTACTAAGCTTCCTGAATCTTGTTGGTCACTGGGGAAACAGAATGGTAGAGCTGATTAGCTGCTGATCCAGTTTAGCAAGTTTTCTATGTTCTTAAAATTTCTCCTGAATTTAACTTGATTGTCGTGACTTCATGCAGACTTTTTGGCAACAATAAGAATGTGGTTTGCAATTGCTATCTTCCTCCTCATTGTTGTAGTACTATTTTTAATTATTTATTAGAGATTCTCTGAGGCTCACAATAAAAACAAATCCCAACCCTGCTTAGCTTTTTGAGATTGCCAAGGTTGACTGAGTGCTACCATCTGTACTAGTCCTCCAAGTTACTATTTCAGAATTAATTTTTCAATCATGGCTTACAACCTTTATGCTTTGCACCCCTAAACCTAAATAATCTTTTTTTGAAAGAATTCATACAGTAGCTATACATAGGATTGTTATCATAATTAAGGTCCATAGAGAAGCCAAAAATGGCTTCATCCTAAATATGTTGTCTTGAAAATCATTCTGAACAAAAAGGTTTTCAGTTGATATTTCAGCAAAGAATTGGTTAGCAGGCAGAAAGTGTGTAGTTGATTACAGTGTTGACAGACATTCTTAGACTTCCCAAAGGTTAATTTCCAAACTTAATCATGATTAGGACAGGTACATAATCTTTTATATATCTATCTCAACACATATTTGCATATTTTATAAATGACACTGGAGGAAAAGAATGTCAATTTCTTTCTGATTCTAGGCAACCTTTACAAAGTTTTATTAGAAATTGTGGCTTATCCACAATGAGTTTGTTTGCAAATGACTGATGGATATAGCCATGCATATTTGTGCATTATTTTACCAGAAATATGAGGCTTAAATTATAAAGATTATTTAAATGACAAGGGAAGATGTGCTTTTAATTTCCAGCTAAAATTCTGCATTAAAGAGGGGGATCACTGAAGATAAAATTACTTCAAATATTTTCCTAGCAGTAATACAAAGATACAGTATTCCTTCCAATTGAAAATGGGATCCTCTTGGTGTTTAGAAGCAATATGTCACATTTGTCCTTAATTTTTTTTCCTAGATGCCTGTGACAGTGGGATCATATGGCCAGTCCCAGCCCAGTTGTTTTGACAGAGTGAAAATGGGCTTTATGATGGGCTTTGCTGTTGGCATGGCAGCAGGTGCACTGTTTGGCACATTTTCTTGTGTCAGGTATGTTGGAGACCAAATTATGTGTGATTATTAGGATGAATCTTCTTTGTGGCCAATAAAGCTGTCAACCATAGTACAATACAATCCTAATAACTTAATATCCTTAGATAAACTTAGCATTAAGATCTGTAGAATACAGTGGGATGTATTTATTAATGATTACTAAATACGTCTATGATTCATGGGACAGTCTCATTATGTTTTTGATGAAGTACTGAGTATAATGACTAAAGCAGATCATGAAAAACATACAATGAAATAATTTGTATAGCTATGATGGTCTGTTTTGATCAGGGAGGATGCAGACCTCCACATCCTGCAGACTTTAGTATTCTTTCTGACATTTTTGTCATTCTTTCTGACATATTTCTTCTGACATTTTTGATCTTCTACATATGATTTATTTTGAAAAATAACTTTGTCCAATATTGTGTTCCTCTTTTAGGATTGGCATGAGAGGGAGAGAACTGATGGGTGGCATTGGCAAAACCATGATGCAGAGCGGTGGAACATTTGGGACATTTATGGCTATTGGCATGGGAATCCGCTGTTAACTTGGATTTCTTTTCTTCTTTTTTACCATGAAGACTAATGCCCCTGTTAGTCCAGAACCTGCTATGTAAAATAATAAAACTTTGTACCAGGAATAAGGTAAAAGTATCTTGGCCCTTCTTGCTGTATTGATTTGCTACTATTTCTCTGAGGACCAAGTAGCAAGAATTCTCTACAATAAAACTTGGATTGTGAGAGTTAAGAAAGAATGGAAAAACTGTAACTGCTAATGACCTTTGCTTATATTTGTTCTTTAACAGTAGCAATTATTTTCATCCTAAGTTTGTTTGCCAGTCCAAAGTACATGGTAAGCAATCTGAATACCATAGCTTCCAAACAGATGTCAGAAGTACACAACTAGATTTTAGGTATACCATTAACAGTGATTTACTTAACCCTGTTTTTTGGGTATGCATGATACTAAACCAATTTCACATGCTGGATTCATAAAACATGCAAGGCTAAAATGTGGCTGGCTAGCTAGCTTGTTTAACATGACGTGAACAACATTAATTCAGCAGGTAGCACTGTACACTCTTGGAGAAGATGGATCTACATTATATCTACTTCTTATAAAACTGAAAGATAATACTAACATCTCTTCCCTAACATAAAAAATGAAACATCCTATATTACAGCAGGAAAATAGTATTTTTATGGCTTGCCTAGCAGGAACTATTGTTTAATCAAAAGTTGGGTTGCTTGCCTTGTATTGGTTTTTTAATTCCTTTACTTTTATTACTGCAGATAACAACTGCAGTAAACTTGCTCCGTATCTGTATAGCATGTGATGGCATGCAATATAATATAGATGGCTGTGTCCAGCTGTGGCAGGTATATCATTACAAATAGCAATTCTCTGCTTTACATGTGCCAAACCTTGATCTTGGTGCTCAGGGTTACCTGATTACTCTTGTGTAAATAAATATCAAAACATACAGTAATACTGAGGAAAAGGTTCCAAGCAACAGATGGTAAGATACAGATAATGGGGAATAATTCCTGAAAAAGTGTTAAGTACAAACAGAAAAAAAATGTTATTACTAAATTCTGCACATTGGAACATCTGCATCTCACCATCTAGTGCTTGGAAAGAACAGTGTGGGAGGATGAATTTTAGAATATTTAAAGGCAGTAATGTGTAAATGAGTATGAAAAAAGATTTTCAAATGAAAGGTATGGATCAAATATTTAGGAAAATCAGAAAAATACTTTAAAGAGTTAGGAGTGTGATACTTAAGCTGATTACAGCAACCTCAACATTCACAGTATTTTTGTATTTACATAGCTCAATGTGTGGGAACTCTAGACCTTATATCAGTTTTTCAGACAGTATGACATTCAGGCCCACTATCTGAAAAGATTGTTCTTTATTTCTGGCAAGCATGTGACCTTCAATAAGCTTATTTCTGAACAAGACAGATAGGAGAGGCATTTACATAACTATGGGTATGAGCCAGACATAAACAAGGATAACCTTCATTGGAAAAACACAGGAGAATCATAAATGTTGGGTAAAAGAAACAACACGTTTAAGGAGAGAGATTATGAAAATCAGAAAAAAATTCTCATATCTCTGAGTGACAACTGTTAAAATATTTACACCATAAAATGCAAAGCTGTTATCCACAATGAACTAGAATACTGAGTGGGTAGTAAGGAAACTGAGAAGTTCATAACAACGCAGGTGCTTAAGCTAAGTATTACAGTGGGGCAAAAAAGTATTTAGTCAGCCACCAATTGTGCAAGTTCTCTTACAGGCCTCTCTCATCTTTTTAAGTGGGAGAACTTGCACTTACAGGCCTCTCTCATCTTTTTAAGTGGGAGAACTTGCACTTACAGGCCTCTCTCATCTTTTTAAGTGGGAGAACTTGCACTTACAGGCCTCTCTCATCTTTTTAAGTGGGAGAACTTGCACTTACAGGCCTCTCTCATCTTTTTAAGTGGGAGAACTTGCACTTACAGGCCTCTCTCATCTTTTTAAGTGGGAGAACTTGCACTTACAGGCCTCTCTCATCTTTTTAAGTGGGAGAACTTGCACTTACAGGCCTCTCTCATCTTTTTAAGTGGGAGAACTTGCACTTACAGGCCTCTCTCATCTTTTTAAGTGGGAGAACTTGCACTTACAGGCCTCTCTCATCTTTTTAAGTGGGAGAACTTGCACTTACAGGCCTCTCTCATCTTTTTAAGTGGGAGAACTTGCACTTACAGGCCTCTCTCATCTTTTTAAGTGGGAGAACTTGCACTTACAGGCCTCTCTCATCTTTTTAAGTGGGAGAACTTGCACTTACAGGCCTCTCTCATCTTTTTAAGTGGGAGAACTTGCACTTACAGGCCTCTCTCATCTTTTTAAGTGGGAGAACTTGCACTTACAGGCCTCTCTCATCTTTTTAAGTGGGAGAACTTGCACTTACAGGCCTCTCTCATCTTTTTAAGTGGGAGAACTTGCACAATTGGTGGCTGACTAAATACTTTTTTGCCCCACTGTATATATCTTAAAATAGCCAGTTATTGATTCTCTTTTAAAAGGCTTTGCATTACATAGTGTATCTCACAGCAATGGTTTTCAGAGCAAGAATGTCAATGGTATGTGGTGGAAAGAGACTGATCTAGCTGTGATAATGGATATACCCAGCATGAATTCTTTTACACATTTTAAAAGACAAGCTGGGTAGCCCTTCCAACAAACTTAATACTTTGTAATTCAGCACAGTAGTAATTTTGGTGGTAAACCTGTTTAAACAAATATTTTTACCATGTCCTATATTATTTACTGTACGTAATATAGTTACAATTGTTGATGATCAACTTGTTCCCTGAGAAATGAGCAACAGAATACCGTCCACCATAATATGTAAGAGATGCTACCAAATAAAAAACCATTAAGACAGGCAACAAATCAGTGTATGTTCTCTCACACACAAAACTTTCTTGGATGGAAGTGAGATCTGAAAATGATACTCAGCCCCAAAATAAACTTGGAACAAATGGTACACTTCACTCCATGTTGCTCCCCAAAGATAACTGTTAGATTCTAATTAATATTCAGAAATTTAAATCTGTCAGTCTCAAGTGTGTTTCAAATCTGTTTTTCCAAGTGTTCATTATTCTTACAGTGATATTCCATATTTACTTCAAAATTGGAGATGGATAATTGTTTAAAATATAGAATCCTTCATGCAATGAACCAAATATAGTAATAGACCTCAGAAAGTTATTACTGTCATAGGCATATCTTATTTTAAACAAAATATTGTTTTTACTGAAATTTCTGATGAGGATTATTCAACTTTTGACTTTTATATCCACTAGAACCCTCCTTCGTTAGGACTCTCATTAAAAACAATACATCATCTAAAACAAGTCACGTTTGGAAATGGGCCAGAAAAATCAGGTTACCTGACCAACAGCTGTAGAAGGAAGTACAGGAAGTCCTCTCCAACTGGTCATAAAAATATGCAATTTTTTTCCTACATCTTGAAAGCTGTAACTTGTTCTTAAAATGCAAGGCATTCTTTGGTTCTGTGCAAGACAGCAAAATGAAGAACAGCACCAAAGGAGACTACCTCAAACAGATCCTTGAAAAATCTACTAATAAAGAACTATTTGGACTGTAGGAGATTTTTCTCTTAAGCACAAAAAGGATCACTCTAAAATTTAATTATACTCAGTTAATACTCATTCGTTCTGTATACACAAGTTAGAAATCAGGCTTCTGCTCACCTAAAGAGATGTAATGTTGATTAAAGTTAATCTGCAGTTTTTTAAAAAATAATTCTTCTGAAGGCCTTTTAAGAGAATTTTATTTGAGTGGTTCTTACAAAGATTGTTGCAATATGAAAGTTGTTTGTTGATAGAAATATTAAGCTGTTTTGTCAAACACACTGAAGTAACCCAAAAATATATTTCAGAGCTCACAGAGCTTAAAAAAGAGCAGATTATATGCAACCAGACAAAATATATTCCTGCATTTCCTACTTCAACTTTTAATTAAGTACATTCCCTGCAATCATTGGAACTTTAATCTGGAAATGCAGAGATAGCTTTGTTTGGAATTCTAAACACACCTTACACCTTATTTACAAGAAACTTTTACAGAGACAATCAAAAGTTACCATCTAGAAATAAAATCCTCTAATCCTCTCAATTTTACCAGCTGGTCAACATTATGTGAGCAGATCAGATGACTGAAAATCATTCAGTAGCCTCTTCAATTTCCAATCCATACAAAACACACTAAATATGTCCAGTTAAATCTGATATTAACCTTTAGCAGAGCATCTACATTTAAATGAATGTAAAATGCAATTTCTGCATTAAAAGAAAGGCTTGCAAAACATTAAAAATGTCCTCTCCATCTTTTACAGAAAAATCTTTTCTATAACCTATGTCTGTTCCTACACCATACTTTAGCCAAAAGTCTAAATGTACAAGAATTACAAGGCAGAACAAGTAGTCAGCTTTGTTTACAGTGGGAATGCTAATCAAGAGAATAAACACAGCATTCCTGCTTATTATATATATTTCTTTAAAGGTAACAGGAAATGTACACAAAAGGACTTTACATCTTTTTCCTTTTGTTTTCATCTAAATAAAGGTAACTCAAGTCTTCCTTCAAAAATAGCTATGTACAAAACTGACTCAATCCATCTTCATCGTCGAGTAGGAACCAAGAGCTGAGTTGCAGTCATAGAATCTGGGAAAAGATTATGGTATGTTGGAAGAGGAACATATGCTGCTGTGATCATTTTACCTATAAGAGAACAAAGAAAAATGTCTTAATAGGTCAATGTGCAATGCCAATAAAATGTAGGACAAAGCTTCCAAGTACCTTTAATTTACTTTAGATAACTCACATTTCACCATTACAATGAATATGCATCACTCAGTATGACTTAACTAAATCCAAAACATATTCAATATGTTTATTACAGTCAGAAGACCTAAACATGAAAGTGTTATTTAAAAAAAACCCTCAGCAGATAAAATGTTATATAGGATGCTACAAGCATTTTAAATGTTTATAACAATTGTACTTTGATTCCCACCCATAAAGATAATTTGTATTAAGTACAGCAAAGATATTGTAGGCCACACTGGGTAATGTTGCCCTGCCCTTGTGCTGAACAACTCTGGAATTAGCAACCAGGTTCCACATGTTTCTCCAAGTCCCAACCATATGTAAAATGAGAAGTATTTCCTTATCTGCCCTATGTACTAAATTTTCTCTGAAGCGATCTGTCACAAGCAATAAATGGCTTCATTATAAAAAAATGGGCACAATCAAAGCCACCCTCAAATAAATTCCTTATTAATTTTGTTACTAACTCTAAATCTGGAGTTTTCAATTTATCATCTCTTAAATTAACCCCTAGAAATCACACCAAATAATTTTTCTTCTTTCTGAAAAGCCAAGTTTTCCTTTATTTGTTTTGAAATACAACTTCCATTGGCTCCAGACTGCATGTGTCAACCGCCAGAAGGTAAGAGCTGAAAACTCTGAAAACCACATTTGGGGAAAGTACACTTACATCATTTTAAGAAGCATTCACCAGTTATTAACATATTTTCCTACAGCCTCCCGCCCCAAGATAGCAGCCCAGATGCTGCTGATGGAGGATGGAAGATGTATCTGGAAGAACAAATATTCCATCCCTAATCCATATCTATTAACCATGTTAGAAAGCATTATGACAATATAGTAAATAGTGACTTACCTGCAAACCACCTTCCATGTAATGCATTGACAGCTGCAATTGCTGCAGCTATTGAAGGGCATTTGACATACACATTGCCCTGAAGTATAAAAAAATAGTATTTATTCATTCTACCTAGAAATCTATTTTCTTTGACTAGCTGTTCTTCTCTATTTTAATGCTTAGACAGACATATTTAATATATCTTCTCACTTGCAAATCAACAGATGTTGGCACAGAAATTTTAAGAAAAGAATCAATGGGTGAAAATAATTTCTTTGCACGGCCAATTACTTAATTTTAAAAATAATTTGTACAAAATCAATAGCTGTATTAAAACAACTAGCACAAGTTTTTGACTAAGTGAAAGCAAAGTATATCTTGCAATAAATATATCTCATTTATTCACTTATAACACAACATACAATGACCATTCAATCCCATCTAATGATTTTAACACCTAATCTTGGGTAAAAACCTGGCCTCAGCATTTTGAATAAACTGAAGTTTGTCAATACTTGGAAAGAGCAGTACAATACAGAACTTTTGATAATAGTCTCACTTTTGGAGGGGCAGGTGAATTAAAGTATAAATAACCACTGCATAGTCTGGGTTGTTGCTGACATGCCTGTTAGAAGTTGGAAGAAAACACCCTAGCCACTTATGCAACCAAAAGAAGTGCAAGACTGTGGGGACCCCTCTTCTCAAATTAGATATTTATGGGTAAGTTGATCCATAAAGATAGGTTTGCACATCATACTCCATTTTGTTGGTGGTGGAGTATCATATTTAAATTAAAAATGGTATGGTTTTCCACAAAGATTCAATCCTGAAATACTTGAATTCCATAACCTATACTAAATTTGCAGTCTTTTAATATTCATGGATATAGTTCTATAAATATGAGATAACACTGGGATTTAAATAGTTTATGTAAACAGAGGAGAGAGAAGTGAGAGGCCCATTAGAGTCTCCAGTTGAATATAGGTTGATAAGGTTAAAATTGAGATGGAATGTGAGAAGTAGTGTAATTCAGAAGAGGAATGACAAGGAGAGGATGGGCAAAAGATCAACCAAGAGAGCTTGTGGTTGTCACAGCTGTCAGAGATTAAAAAACATGGGTCTATGTGTGACTTGAACAGGATAAGGAGCAATAGGGGAATAGGTGTTATGTCTTGTCAGATCAGTTTGAGCAGCAAATGTGATATCAAGGATCCAGGGGACTGAGTCACTGGTGTTCTTGTTGCCAGAGCTGACATGAATATGTATAACTGGCCACACTGGAAGGAAAGTTGCCAGTCAAGGACAGAATGGCAACCAGGAAGGGAGCCCCATTAGACGTGTATCACAAAAGTACACAGCCATTACACTGGAGTGGTAACAATGGTTCATGTCACATGTGAATTTATTTGAAAAGAGAAAATGGATGGAAGAATGGAAATTGGGCCTTGGAAGGGAGAGACTGAAGAGTGAAAATTTGCTGTTGGTGGTTAAAGTAACTAGGGACAGAATGGGCTGGATAAACAACTGGGAAGTGGACCCAACTTCTATGATCCTGGTCATTTGTTTGTGGAAAGGACTGAAGGATGAGTTGGAGGAGCCATTCCCTGGGTAAAAAATGAACTATGATTGCAGCATACTTTCCCTGTCCCCTGAAAGAAAAGTATCGGGGAGGGCTTGTTGTCTCTGAATCCAGGTAAGAATCAAGTAGACTGGAGAGGGTCAGTTAGGAAGAAAGCAAAGGGGATTATGATGGAATAAGTACGTGCATCTGGGCAGCTGCTGAATAACTCTGCAAGACAGCATCCTGAGAGAGAATGGGATGTGGTAGAGGCTGTTGTGGGACAGAAGATATGGAATACAAAGGACAGCCTAGTTGGTTTGTGGCCAGTGAAGTACTAGGTGGTGGTGGAGAGGGAAGGATTGCAGTGGTAATAAACAGGAGGAGGAGGAGGAGGAGGGGAACTGGTGGGATGCATGGACCAGACCTTTACAGGAGAAAGGAGAATGAAAATTTGAGGCCAATTTCATCCTTGAGCCCCTACCTTGGTCACCAGAAGTCTTGGAACCCAGTTGTTGCTGCTTAATGGCAGGTCTGCCAGTAACAAAGCTATCCCCATCCATAATTTAAACATTAAGCAGCAGCAACTTAAATATGGATGAGATGGCAGACCTCGCTTAAGTTTCCAAAAACTGGACGGTGTGCATAACTGGGAAGCTCTGGCTAGAATGTGTCCATTTGGGTATTGTACCAATCTCAATCTCTGGACAGGGAAGGGAGATGGCAGTTAACACAGGAGGCTCTGCAGATTACCAGAGAAGAATCACACAGATAAATATAAAGCCCTGTTTGTGAGGTTGGGATTGAGAAATAAACTGAACCGCTCTTGTATCATCTACCTGGTATGAGCAGCAAAGCATCAATACTGTTTAGTTATCTAGATCCTTTTAGGGAACAATCTGAACGAGCATTTGGTTGGGCTGGGTGACAAATCTACCAAGAAATCCAGAGGACAAAATCACTCACATTTGCTCAGAGTTGGAAACTGTCTGGGCAGAGTTGCAAATATGATAGGTGACATCATGCAATACCATCTATGATGTGCCTGAGTCTGTCAATCTTAGGAATTCGACAGGATTGTCTCTGATGCTATTTTTACCCGCTGACTTGATCCCCATTCCACTAGTCTTGTGAAAGTAGCCAGGAGGAGATTTGATATTTATCATATTTGTATAGCCACCCATCTTACTCATAGTGACTATGGTCAACATATATACTAAAAACGAAGTACATAAAAACCGTTAAAACCACAATTTGGATTAAAATAAAAACAAGATAAAAAGAAAAAGACAAAATGGCGGCAAAGCATACAGAGAGCGTTATCAGTTAACCATCATATAATCATCTAACAGGCTCCACTCTATTATGGGATCCCCAAGCTCATTGACAAAATCATATTTTGAGGGCCTTCTGGAAGGCCAGAAGGATTGGGGCCAGCCTTACCTTGGGGGGAACGATGTTGCACAGGGCAGAAAAGGCCTTCCTCCTAGGTCCCGCCTGACAAAACTCCCTAGCTGACAGGACCTGCAGCATGCCTCTCCTGCCAGACCTGATGGGACAGGTAGATGTCACTGGGGAGAGGCAATCCCTCAAATAACCTGGGGTCATACCATGTAGAGCTTTAAAGGTCATAACCAGCATCTTGAATTGGACTTGGAAGCAAACTGGTAACCAATGCAGCTCGCAAAGCAGAGGTGTGACGTGCAGTTCTTGGAGCACACATAACTGTCTGCACCACTGCATTTTGCAACAGATGAAGCTTCTGGATGTTCTTCAAGGGCAGTCCCATGTACAGCACATTACAATAGTCCATGTGGGGGGTGACTAGGGCATGAGAACAGAGCCTCATGATCCAAGAATGGGCTCAACTGGTGCACAACATGAAGCTATGCAAAGGCCTTTCTGGCCATGACTGCCACCTGCTCTTTGAGCAGGAGTTGTGAGTCCAGAAGAACCCCCAGATGGTGCACTGGGTCTGTTTGGGGCAGTGCAACCCCATCCAGCACTGCAGATTATAAATCCCCAGACACAGCAGACCCTAAAACCCAAAGCCACTCAGTCTTGCCTGGGTTTAGTTGAAGCCTCTTGTCCCAGACCCCCACAGCCTCCAGGCACCAAGAGAGTACATCAACAGCATCACTTAAGCTCACCAGGAGTGGAGATACATAACTGGTTATTATCAGCATACTGATACCTCACCCCATGGCAACAGATGATCTCACTCAGCTTAGATGGTGGACTGGGTTCAAGCTGTGGTGAATGCTTCATCAGAAGAGAGGGTGATAGTATCTGCTGTGAAAGAGGTGGTGGTGGTGGTGCACTTCCTTCCTTTACCCAGATCGTTTTGGTCTATTGTCTGCTCCAACCCTTCCTTTTTAGGAAAGGTTCAACAAAAGTTGGTGGGGCAGCAATTACAGAGGAGAGATTATGTAGACTCCTTTCAAACAGGATTCAGGCCTGGATATGAGTTGCTCTTACAGATGACCAGTGGTAGGACCTGTCCTGGGAAAGTATGACCTCCTGGTTCTGCTGGACTTCTCACCAGCCTTTGGTACCATCAATTGTGAGCATTTGGACTTTAAGGTATATGTTGCAGTAGTTCTTCTCCTTTCTGAGTGGGTAGTTCCAGTCAGTGAGGGAGGGAAAGATCACACCCTCAGAGTACTCCAACACAGGGAACCACAAAGCATGGCTTTCTCCCCTTTTCTATTCAATGTCTATATGAAGCTGTTGGGAAAGAATATCCACTAGCACAGGATGAGATACTGTCAGTACACTGATGATACCTAGACATACATCTCCATTCCAGGCTAGTCATTAGATGTGGATAAAATTCTGTCCTAGTGCCTGAAAGTAGTTAAAACACTGGATGGGAAGAAACAGGCTTAGATTTAATCTCAAAAAGCTTTGACTCCAGAGTAAATCCATCTTTCCAGAGAAGAGTCATGCTCCATTATAACAAGCAGACTTGTAATCTAGTATTCTCCTGGACTCACAGCTCCTGCTGGAAGAGTAGGTGGAACCCATGGTCAGAAGGATCTTTGCAAAGCGCTAGCTTTTATGCCAACTTTTCCTAAAATGGGAGGTTTTGTTGACAGCCATGACTTCTTCATGTCTAGATTCTTGCAACTCAGCCAACATGGGCTGCCTTTTATGATTATTTGATAGCTACAAATAGTTCAAAATGCAGCAGCTAACTTGCTGCTTGGCCCAGTTTGTCCTTATGCTACTTTTACTGGGGGAGCTGCATTGGTTGCCAGTAAGCTTCCAGATGCAATTCAAGGTGCTAATTATCACTGCAAAGTCATACAGGGCTTAGAACTGTGTTATCTCTGCGCCTGCTCTGAGTAAAATCTGCCCATTCAATGACATGTATAAGAGGGCATATTATGGGTACCATGTTTGACAGAGTATTAATGGGATGGGACCAAGAAATAACCCTTCTTAGTTATGATCCTCTCCTCTGGAACAGGTCACCCCAAAAACAAGGATAGTCCCATTCTTTGTTTTGGAAGGATAACCTGGGTCTTCTGGAGGGCTTTTGTGGATGGAATGGATGTGTGATTTTGTTGTTCCCAATCCTGAGAGGAGATGGAGGTCAAAATAGTAATTAATATTATATGTTATATTTATTTTATTTTATTATGTTTGTGTTTCAAACTTAATTACCAGAAGTGGGAATTGTTTACAGATTGAAGTGGCATAAAGCACAAGCAAACAAATGTTTGTGTCACTTTGTGTTAGAATACTTTAGTTGCATAACACAATGAAAAATGAATCCCTGTACTGCAGATATTAACAGCATGAACACCTTTATAAAACTTTGAAGGACCAGACCATAATGCTATCTTTATAGATTTTAAGAACATACCTGAGTTGAATTTTTGTCTACATAAATATGGACAACACCTCCATGTTTGTTACATTCTTCAATCACATCATCTTTAATTTCTGTATCCCAGCCAGCTTCTTCTTCACTGCAGAATAAGTTAAGAAGGCAATAAACTCATGTCTTTATACCAAATAGAGAAAATTTTAGAAAACCACACCAGGTTAACTTACGTTTGAGGGTTAAACATATTGGATAGCTGAAAGCATTGTGTTGCAAGTGGTTGTACAGAAGCAGCTGCAGCCAAGACTGAAGAAGAAAACATAGTATGACTTTTCTGTTATTTTTAATTTTATTTTTGGTTTACAATATACACCTTTAAAAATATATAACTGTTCAATTTAACATGTAAATATAATGCAAAGATTTGTCAAACAATACAATTCTGCTATGAAATGCAACTCATATGCAAAGGTTCTAATTCTGAATCCATAACACTTTAACCCTGAAAGGAGTCTATAACTCAAGAGGCAGAAATAATGCCAATGAAGCTTTAAGGCTTTGCCTCCCAGGAGCCCTTCCAACTGTCAGGCCCAGCCCAAGAACAACAGGGAAACAGTCCAGCTGAGTTCAGTTCTTTTATTGCTTATACCATATAGAGAGAATCTTGCCAGACTAAATCTGTACTACTTTAATCTAGTGGATATATCCTGGGAGATTCTAGGGAGTGGCTATCCTAAATCTCTTCCTCTTCCCATGCTCTGGATGGTGCTGTCTCTTGTCTCACTCCCCTTCCTGGAACGTACTCCCTCCTTCCTGAGAAGCTGCTGCACTATTGCCATCCATCGCATCCCCTCCCCCTTTGTAGATACATTCCATCGTACAACATATTGCTAAACTAATGACTGGACAGTCTAAGATCAACATTTAGCATGACTAAAGATTCCTTTGTTAAGGACTGCCCCATCTCTGTGTAACAACCTGGTGATTAAAACTAGCCATGAATTCAGTGAAGAGTAGGACCTGAAAGAGCAAACCTTCACGGCCATACAAGATAAGTGCAGCAGTGGACATACATTTATTATGTGGCTGTGCGAACCACAATGTTTGTTTTCAAAATGCTTTCTCTGCAAACACGATTGAATAACATATTTTAGCTTAGGGTTATTAGTACCAAAGGGGAGATCATGATTTTTGCAGACATTCTGCCTTGCTTCAGCAAGGCTTCATCAGTGCAATGGTTCAGAAGTGGGGATTGCCTTGCGGTATTTATAGCCTTTACGGAATTTGAATTCTGGAGAATTGGTTGGTGATTGGATGCTTCTTGGGAACTATCAAGTGACTGATGGCTGAGAATGATGTTAGCTCTATTCCGATTGGTCTGCCTTGTCAGTCAGTTATATATGGTTTGAATCAAGTACTTGACTGGGTGGTAGACTGCATCTAGTTCAACCATCTGTTGATAGCTCCTTTAAGTGCCAGGCTTCCAGGAGTTCTCTAGCCTTTCTGCTGTTTGTGTGGTCAATTATTTCTGCATTTTCCCAGTCAGATGTGTAGTTCATTCTGAGGGAATGGGTGACTGATGGGTAGCCCATAAAACAAGTTGATTCCTTCCTATACTTAGGGGTGGCTTTTACTAGTAAAGGACTATAGACAAGTTTCTTCAAAAGTTCAGTGAGGGCTGTGGCCAGTTCAAAAACGTAAATTAAAGAATTATAAGTATCCAAGCTCCTTGAGTACAATGTTAAAGGTTTACAAGGCAAAAATAGTACCAGTGTTAATATAAGTAGCAGAATTATGGGGTCTGCTAAAAGCCCCCATACTCAAACTCAGATCCGTTGCATTCTGGGAATGCATTTTGGGAATGGGACAAGAACATGCCAGACTCTGCAGTTAGAACTATACAAAGTTATTCTATAATTAAAGATTGCAATTATTGGTGAGATTCTTTCTAATCTGGCAGATTACCCAAAATTATGTCTGGAAGAACAGATTGGTATGTCACATACATCAAAGTTATTTTTCAATATGGCTTATCAGTTCAGTACTTAACCTCAAATCAGGCTAAAAAAATGTTTAAGCACACTCTTGGAAACAAATAGTAAACCTCTTGCATTAGACTGTTTTATTTCCTCCAGAGCATAAACTTGTTTGTCACTAGCAGGATCACCAAGTTTATAGTTAAAACTGTCCAACTGAGAGGTTATCTAACAGATCAAATTAGGATAATGTGAAAAGTCATTGATTTATTTAAATATACTTACTTTTAATCTTTATATATTTGCATCTATTTTATAATTGTTGTACCACTCAGAGTCACTTTTTGTGAGATGGACAGCCATATAAATTTGATGAATAAATAAATGTTTTGTATATTGGTGCTATTAACTTACTTATCAATAAAAGCAACAGCTGTTTGTTACTTCTGATCTTGGCTCTTTGTTGCAGTTATGTGTTCTTTCATTTTGTGGTGTAGTTGGCATCCTGTCCGCCCTATGTATTGCTGGCTGCAACCCAGACAATTGTTTCTATATATGATGGGCTGTGTAGATTTCAGTTTATACAAGATTCTCTGTAGAGTTTTTATGGGTTTGTGGGCCACAGTGATTACAATAATGCGCTGGCATATTCTGATATATTGCTTGTGTATCAGTGTTAATTGGTGGTCCTCGGGCTGTCTTATTTTATGAAATGGGGGGTGGGTAACTGTTCTTCCTGAATATGCCATGGAAGTGATTGAGTTCTGCTTTTCTGAGAGCTGGTGAACAGCAGTGTATTTTGTTTGGTTGATAACGGTTCTTCTATGACTGATCTTCTGGGGTGTGGCAACTGCTGTGGAAATTTAAGATTTGGTCTGTGTGTATTTTTGCAAACTTGAGTTTGCAAGCTGCCATCATTCAGTATAGTGAGGATATGCCTAGGAATGAGTTTGTTCTTCGACTCTATAGTGAATTTGATCCCTGGACACGTGGAGTTAAGCATTTGAAGAGTTCTTTCAATTTGGGTTTCTTTTAGGATGACAGATGTATCAACGTATCTTTATTTACAGGTAGTCCTTGACTTACAACTATTCATTTAACGAAAGTTAGGACAGTGCTGAAAAAAGTGATTTATGACTGCTCCTCGAACTCACAACTGTTGCAAGATCCCTGTAGTCACATGATCAAAATTCGGGCACTTGGCAACCAGCATTCATTTACAATGGTTACAGCATCCTGGATTCATGTGATCGCCATTTGCGACCTTCCCAGGGGGCTTCCAGCAAGCAAAGTCAATGGGGGAAACCAGATTCACTTAACCACCCGGGTATTCGCTTAATAACTGCAGCAAAAAAGGCTGTAAAATTGGGTATGACTCACTTAATGACCGCATCGCTTAACAACAGAAGTTCCAGTCCCAATTGGGGTTGTAAGTCGAGGTCCCAATTGGGGTTGTAAGTACCTGTAGTTGACTAAATATTAAATATTTAGTTGACTAAATCATTTTGTTTGTTGGAATCTGATTACTACAGACCCAAGCACTGAGTATCCAAGCACTGAGATAGGAGCCAAAATGACTATTTTGCTGAAAGGTGAAACAGAACAGGAAACGCCAAGGCCAGATCTTTGGGAGTAGATACTGGGAGAGTTCCCTTGTCTGATCACCTGGCGACCCCACAGTTCCGTACTGGAACTATGTATAGGTTTTCTACCAAGACTTCCTCTACATTCATGGTCCAATCCCTAAAATGAATGGAGCTAGACTAGAAGGAGCAAGTTTAAAGAACCACTGGCATAATACTCTCTCCCTGTTGAATTAGGAGAGGATGAAACCAGTCTGGAGATTGGCCTGCACAAAACAACATCTATTATTTATTTAAATAATAATTATAAATATATTATTGTATTGTAATGTAATATATTACTATATACATATAATAAAATATATTACATTTATTATTTAAACAAATTGTTATTTCTATGATTATCTATGATTATTGTGTTAAAGCAATATTTAGAGTTCAATATTATAAATTTTCAGTTGATTCTAATCATGGCACTTCTCCTCAAGTCTTTCTGTTTGTTTCTCAAAGCTTTTTAAATCTGTTTTTCAGTGTAGTCTATTTTAAAATCAGATGGAAAAATCAAAAGTATTAGCCAGACATACAACCAGCCAAAATCACACACCAGCAGATGATCTGATTACATTATTCTCTGCTCCACAAAATAGTAGGTTATTTAAATAGCAATCAGAATCCTTCTTCTCTGAGAGCAAGATATTCTCTGAAACATGTATATATTTTTTCTAATGAGAGAACTGAACACTATATTGTTTAGAGCCTAAGAGTATACTAACAGAATGACATCTTTCTCCAGTAACTGGGAAAACTATTGCAAATTGAATGAAAACTGATAATCAATAATAATAAATAAGCTGCTGAGATTATTATTCTTAATTGGAAGAATATACAACATAGATTATTCAAGTTTAATGTAGCAGCTATATAGTGAATAGATAAGAAACTGCCTGAAGAGTAACACGACTAGATACAAAACCCAGTGGGCATATAGGCTGTTTTTGGCAACAGCAATCTATTAGAAGCAAATCTGCATCAGAATTGAAAAAATACTGTAATCTCTATCATCATCATCTATTATTTATTTAAATAATTATTATAAATATATTATTGTATTGTAATGTAATATATTACTATATACATATAATAAAATATATTACATTTATTATTTAAACAAATTGTTATTTCTATTATTATCTATGATTATTGTGTTAAAGCAGCAGCTCAGGCAATATTTTATAGGGATTCACAATCATTTTTTCCACACTATCAGTTCTTAATATCCTATTTTCTGCTATTTATACATGAGATTTGGACAGGGTAAGACATTGTAGGATAAATGCTTTTTCCTTTCCTATCCAATACAAGAAAATGTCTGAAGCTTTGAGATTACTTCTTAATAAATGGCAACCAAGCTAATGGAATTGTGGGTGAACAGTACTTAAACAATGTACAATATTCAAATTCAATCTCACCTTCACTTTGCTGAGAAAGTCTTGTCTGTAAATCTGAAAGAGAACATTGGAAAATTTTAATACTGTTACATCTTGAGTACAGATTTTACATTCAATAGATAAATGTAAGTACAGGTGGTCCTCGGGTTACAACCACCCGTTAAGTGACCATTCAAACTTACAATGGCACTGAATAAGTAGTAGTTTCAACCAGTTCTTGGAATTCTGGCTGTTGCAGTATCCCTGTGGTCATCTGATTGTGATTTGGACACTTAGCACCCAGCTCACAATTATGACATTGCAGTGAGCCGCAGTCATGGGATTGTGATTTTCAATGTTCCCTGCTGGCTTCCCACAAGCAATGTCAATGGGGAAGCCTGCAGGAAATCACGGTCACACGAGGTCCTCGCTTAACGATAAGTGCAGTCCTCAACAATGGCAGCTGGAACTGCTGTTGCTAAGCAATGTGGTCATGGGATATCATGCTTTACAACCACATTGCTTAGTGACAGCAATTCTGGTCCTAATTGCTGTTGTAACCCAAGGACTACCTATAATTTCTTCAGAATATAAATTTGTGATGGATATCCTGGCAAAAAGAAAACACTTTAGAAAAAGAGTGTCTCCTTCCAAGTAAGCAGTGTACAGAACTGTTACAGGTAGTCCCTGGGTTAAGAATGCCCAGTTTAAGGACTACTCATAGTTAAGAACGGAGCCTATTGTAGCAAAATTTGAATTAAATACACAATGATTTGAGTTAAATACACAATATTACTTATACAATTTTATTTATTGATTGATTAAATTTTTCAGCCGCCCATCTCCCCCCTTATACAATAATACTGTTCTGGCTTACATACAAATTTGACTTAAGGACAGACCTTGGGAATGGAATTCATTCTTAAACTGGGGACTACCTGTATTTAAAGTTATATTTTTCTAGAATAATTTCCACATAACAATTTAAGAATTAATGTTACCTGCCACAGCACTAAATGCTAATGATCCACTCATCTGCAGAGCTTGCTGGGCAGCTGGAGGAATCTGCAAACCAGTACCTGAAATAAAAATCCATGAATCTATTTTGGGATCTACTTTTAACTAGGACATGTAGTTGTGTTCAAATTCACTATGAAAATGTTATTATATACTGAAGAATATGGTGCAATGTTAGATACTGAAAGAGAGAAGCATATACTTATCAATTAACTTACCCTCAGCAAGTCTTGCCATCAACTGAAGACGACCAGTTGTTCCCAAATCAATTCCAGTCCTTTCCAATTCATCACTGTCCAAAAATGAACTGGCACTGGATGCATCTGTACGTTCGGTCACATGACCTACTTTCATTGGCCTGCCAGCCAGTTCAAATCCATTTAGTTGTTCCAAGGCCTTTTTAGCACATTCTGAATCTGAAAACTGAAACATACATGATTATCATTTGAAGCATCTGTTACAGCACGTTACCTACATTCTATTAAGTTTTAGATGCAAAACTAACACCGGTGGCCTACAGAACAGCCAAGTTGTGGTCACATGATGTCTCACTTGTGGTTTCATTGCCAGCCTGTCCATTGACTCTGCTTGTTGGAAGCCAGCTGTGAAGCATGCAAATGGCAATCATGTGACCGTGGGGATGCTGCAACAGTTATTAAGTGCAAAGACTGGTCCTATAGTTATTTTTTCAGCACTATCATAATTTTGAATGGTCTTAAACAGGGCAGTCATTAAGCGAGAACTACCTAACATTTTTATGCTTCTCTACTTCCAAAGGCTCACAGCAGCACACAGGAAAAAAAATTTTTTTAAATACATGGGAGGGATCTTGCAGAATATCCCAATTAATCTTAGTATCACCAATTTTTTAAAAAAAATTGATAGTAGAAGACAAGATAGATTTGTGCTCAAAAACGTACATGTTGCCCCCACTTAAAACACACCAAACTGGGCTACACCCATAGCATTATGCAAAATAAAAATATTTCTTATATACATTTTATTATTTCATGATGATTATTATCACTATCATTAAGTAACCTAGTATTAATCTATTATCTCCCAGCCCATATCTGTCAAGTATATAAACTTACAGTAATAAATCCATATCCTTTGGACCTCCCAGTTTCACTGTCCATCATTAGCTGAATGCTTTCAATCTGAAAAAGATCAAGACTACCCTTAAGTATTAAAAAAAAGACTCAATATACTTTAATGTAGGATGAAAGTTAAACAGCTTTTTAAAAAATGTTTCAAACACTGATGAACAGCCAAGGAAAATATGTGCTATCTTCTCCAATACTGCCTTTTATTCTTCCTAATACATTCTGTGAACAGTAAAGTAACATGTAAGATGCAGAAACTATTTATTTGGAGCCATTTTAGATTCTTTCAATTCCAATAAGCTACTGGCTGTACTAGTCCAAAAACAGAGAGGTTTGCCAACTACTACCGTACAGTAAGAAAATGAAATATATCTAGCTTCCTTAAATTTCCAAATATGTGGATTTCCCTTGTTAATTGAAGAATTCTGGAAAACATCAGGAAGGCATCCACACTGGAAAAGGCTGATTTAGAATTATGTTTTAAAGTACATGTAATGTATATAGATAGAATGTTTCTAGTTCATTATCATCCTTAAACACTGGATTGCCTCTGAAGATTATTTGAAAATTCCAAGTGATGCAATTGATGCCAGAGGTAGAATAGACAACATTTGATACTATTATATTATATTACATTAATTGTAAATATGAAGGCCCAACTCAATGTGCTAGTTTGAATAACTATAAAGCCTAAACCAAACAGAAATATTATAAAATTACCTCAATTTATCATCTTAAAGGATCAATTTTTAAAGATGAAACCTCAGTTTAAGTTTTCAGAGTCATCTTTTAAATTTACGTGTATGGTATGAGTACAACTCCAGATTTAACAGGGAGATGTTAAATTTTCTATTCTCACTTATGAAGCTCAGTGAGTACCCTTACACTTACCAGTACTCCAGCCTTCTCTACGTTGTTGAGTTGTTCTGGTGTTAAAATTGTGTTAATCGTAACTATAATACATGGTACATGGGACTGTTTTGAAGATGCTTCAGTAGCTACAGCTGATACAAAACGCACCAATCTGACTACTAGTTGGGGAGACCCACTAATGTAGGATAACACCAGCACTGTGGTCGCTCAACTGGTTACCAAATGGGTTTCTGGGCCCAACCTCAAGTACTTGTAATCACCTATAAAACCCTATATGGCATGATACTAGGATATATCAGGGAACTGCTTTGCCATGTGCAATTCTGCCTGTTCAGTTCAAACATTAAGGGAAAGCTAGTTTCTCTACTCCAGAGGTTAAGGGAGCTTGGACCAGGAGAAAAGCCCATGCTTTATAGAACATATTCCCCCCTCCCATGGTACAATTGGCCCCTACTGTTCTATTGTATTTCAACAGGCCTTCGGGCCCTAGACTGTTTTGGCTCTATACTGAGTTTGTGTTATGTTAAAAATTCTGGTATTGTAAGAGGATTTTTAAGTGCAGACATATTCATTTGTGTTGACTATTAAGCACAGAGATTAAGCACAGAGTTTCATTTGTGTCGAATATTAATCACAGAGATATTGTGTTGAAAAAAACTTACCCGGCCAAATGGTTCAAAGATTCCACGAAGCATATCTTCAGTTATATTGAAGTGTAATGAGCCTACGTAGAGTCTCATGGGGCCTGCACTGCCTTTTTGTAAGTTATTAGCCATTGCTGCTGCTCTATTTTTCTCTGCCTAGAAAAATTATATACATAGGAAATACTATAGATCACTATATACAGTAGAAAGAACTATGATGCAGTCTACCTAAGCATATGCAAAATCTAGCTCTCAGTCATATAAGCTAAGATAGAGAACAAAAAACATTTATATCTGAGAACTATGTTTTAATACAGCTATGTTTAATACAGCCCATTTTATTTTTGACATTTGGTTCTATTTTCTGCTAAAAATTCTGTCATATAAACAGTCTTTTATGATTCAAGAGCAGGAGTTTGGCAGATTGGAACTGGTCAAATTCAAAGTGAATACTAAGCCACTACAACCTAAATATACCAAGGAAGTAATAGCCTCTTCCTGTAGTTATTTTCAACCCAGCAGCAAATAGTGAGAGTAATGTTTAAAATTCCTGCAAAAAAGATCTTAATAGCGAAGCCACAATAAGAGCACCACTTTTTGAAATTGTTCAAAAATGAATAAAACCATTATACAACTATAAAATTGCTCTAATGACCAGTTTGGCATCAAAAGTTACTAAGAAAACCATGCAAACTAATTGGGAAATATTCTCCTTGTCTTTTGCATTAAAAAGTTGTCTACTGCAAAATTAAACCTAAACTCAATTTCAGTATAATCAAAAGTTCCTGGAATTTTCCAGCAGCCTTTGACTCAGTTAGCTAACCTCCTCCAAATACAAAATTCACTACTGGTCCAGCCATAATGTCTTCAAAAGAAGCCAGTTCCTTGTCTCTTCTCAAGAGACTGGAAAGCACCCATCCTTCCACAACCAAAATCCAAAATCTCAAGCCAGATCTACTAGATATAATCAGCCAAGATGGAAAAGGATTAAGAGTATCAGCGATGCAGTGAACATCTCCACCAATTTGCTTGTATGATGGAATCTAGTATCAGACAAACTATTCTTATCAGTCATAATAGGTAGCTGAGGCTTCAGTTAAGGTTTTGAATCATCATGAAAACAATATTGCTAGTCGTAATAATGCTGCTTTGACTATAGGTATAAAAACAACATAGGAAGCAACATGACCAATATCTGAAGAATCATGAATTTAGTCCTTAAGCCTTAGCACTAGAAAAGTACTCAAGTTAAACTTACCTGAGATGCTTGTACAATAATTGGCACTCCCAACACTCGCTGTCCAGTTAATCCAATGGCCAAAGGAACTGAACTGACATCAACAAATTCTACATAAGCAATTCCCTTTGAACGTCTTGAGTTTCTATCTGATATCATGCGTACGTCACGGACCTAGAAAAAATTCAAAATACTGTTTTATACAGTTGAAAACTTTAATAGGATGTAATATTTATATACCATTATACATAAAATCAAACTATTACCTGAAATTTTCATATCTGATTCAGAATTACTTAATGTTCTGAGATTTTAACAAAAGATTTCCTCCACATAAGAAAACTAATCTATTTTGCATTATATATGCACAGCAGGAAGCTTCTAATAGTACACAATATGTAAGCATGCAGTGGAGAACTATGTCCATGTGTTGAAAGTAACAATATCACAACAGTTATATCATACAAGCCATTTTATATATAAAATAAAGCAATACTCTGATACATAGAAGGCTTTGTAATGTCTCACAACAATCAGGTATTAAAAGAAGAGTCAAGAGTTCTTGGTATCACACCTTTCCTACAGTAGAGAAAAATTCTTCCAGGTCTCTTGGCCTAATTCTTGCAGCAAGCTGCATACAGAATACTGTTCTAGCATCCCGTTCCTCTGGAGTAAGATTATCAATAGGCTCTCTGAAAAACAGTGAGTTATAATCACTATAAATCCATTTAAACACAGATAACTTGACCAGATTTGATCTTTATGTTATTAAGATCATTTGTATTCAAATGTAGATGAAGATTCATAAAAAACATGCTTTTACAAGACAGGGAGAGAGTCACCCATACTTCAAATGCACAAGATCTACCCTCCCTTTTCACAATCGGGATCATCATTTCAAAATTCATTTTAATTGCAAGAGAATCTACTTGCACTCATAAAAAGTCTCTGCTGCTTTTTCCCTGAGCAATATAGAAATTCTGTCCCAATGTTTGCATAACTGTCTCCCTTGCTAACTGTATTTTCCTCCAGTTCTGGCTCACTGTTCTGGGCAAATTATATTTTTCTCATTTTTCTTCTTATACATATTATATTCCACTACATTCTATAGTGGAACTGACACTAGCTACTGATAGAACAGATTTTCACCTGCAGCCTCTGTCCACTTGAATATGCTCCAGACAGAGGACCCTTTGAAGGAGGCATGAAGTAAGGTAGAAAAGAGTAAAAATTAAATTCCTGCTATGCAAAGTAGAAGTCTATAAAATTGGAGATTCATCAGTACGTTGTCTCGAATGCAGGACTACTTTAAGAAATACATGTTCACCTGCAAACCAGCAGACCTGAAGTGGGAAGGATAAGTATCATCTGTAAGCCTGGCCCCTCACCCAATATCCCCCTTGCCTGGCTACATGGTATACAGAGATACGTGCAAAGGGTTCTAAAGTAGGGCTTATAAAGTAGGGCAGCTGATGTACCTACAAAATCATTCACATTGCTGAGCACATGGAAATTAAAAGGACAGAGTTTTCCTGGACATCTAACATCTCCTTCCTATTTTAGCTATTAATTCTTGCACTGAAATAAGGTTATAGCCAATGCTGAGCTCTCATGCCTTCTCTGTTGCAGCACCTGCCTCTGGAGGTTTAAGTCGCCCTGATCCTGCAGTCTTAAAACTCTGAAGCTCTAGCTCTTCCCCAGGTGCTAGCATAAGGAACGATGTGCTCTCTCTCTGTGGGAATAATTAACAAGCTGGATGATTAGCTCATTTTGCTTTTATTGTGTTGGGTGTGTTTTTAACTTGTATGCTGCTCAGAGTTATTATTAGAAGGGTGGCCTATAAATATAATAGGTAAATATTCGATGTGAAAAATGTGCATATGGAAAAGACAAATGGAGAATGGGACAAGGAACTGGGTATAACAAGGAATACGTCTGCTATCTTTAACCTTAATTCCAAACACCTATGCCTAAGGGATGTCTGTAGTTTCAATGGATATATTTTTAAGTACAGACACGTTACCTATTCACAGCATTATTTTTTAAAAATGCTCTTATTGTCAGTGAACTTTAATAGCTGTGTATGTCTGAAATAAAATAATGTTATAGGTCGGTCTTTCTACGCTCTATCCTTATAAAGGCAATCAGTACAGCAATGGGTAATGCAATGAAGTTGCACCACTGCAAGGCTATATAATAGCTGATATAATGTCACTGTCTGAATGCTACATTTAGGCATTAAAACATCTTTATATACAAATTACAATTCCTAAAATTGGAACTGAGTTGGTATCATTACAAAATGATGTGATCCACCATCCTCAGAAAAAGTTTTCTAACTTGCTCTTCCAAAATGTTCACATATCTGCCAGTTAGCAAGCCAAACTAGGAGAATCCCTACACCCACCAATTATGTCTAAACTCTCACAGCACATCTGACCTCTAGTACACTGTCTTCATAGACATAAATCCACACACATTTCAGGAACAGTCAATCACACGAAACAACTGAATTTTTTATTGACAAATTAGTGCACTAACATTTTCTTTGATGTGTAGAACATTCAATATGTTATAGAAAACCCAACATTAATTAGCAAGCTTCAAACCCCTACCTTACAGGACTCTTGTCTTTTCTGAAAGGACTTTTGCTCCTAGATCGTCGTCTGCTGTGAAAAACATATACAGAATTATGAGGGGAATAAATATCAATATAAACTATTAAATCCCCTCATTAAAGAAGGAAAACAAAACCTTATTTTCATGCTGTGCGGCAAGCCAATTTTTCCTCTCATGGCACTATTGAACTTGGGACCAGAACTAGGATTAAAGAAAAAAAGCAGTATTATATAGGACCTCTAACATTATATTCTCATTACTATCATAACCACTACAGTATACTGAAATAAAATATCATACTGATATGATTATATTACAACTTGAATTTCTCTAAAGTTCTCAAGCTAAAAGTTGTTACTATTTACTTAATATTTAAAAAGAAACTAAAACAATAATTTCACATAACATACTAGGGACTTCTGTAACGGCCTCTGAATCGACGTTCTCTGCTTCTTGAACGGCTGCGTCTCCGTTCTTTACTTCTACTGCGCTTTCTTTCTCGACTCTTGCTTTTCTTTCTTTCACGTTCACGGCTTCGTTTGCGATCCTTGCTTCGGCTCCTCTTCCTATCATGACTACGACTTCTGCTCTTGCTTTTTTTCCTCCTGAACAGGACAGATTTTAAAAATATCAGTTAATGTTTTCAAAGAGGAAAAAAAATATTAACATTAGGCCATGTGGAATAAGGTAAGTAGGTGGCTTGAAAAATATTTGTCAGTTTTAAATAAACTTTATGCAATATTTTAATGAATATAATTGCAATCAATTATATAACTGCCTATAAATCTTACAATTAAGAAATATATTTAAGGTTAAAAGCAAGGCCATTTAGGTGAAAAAAATCCTAGACATATCACAAACCAGGTGAATATATTGCTGCTTTAATCTTTACATTTCTATCTCCTTACTATAAAATTTTCTCAGTGACAAAAGACAGTTTTAAAAATTGCAAATAATTATACCTACCAAGTTCCTTTCTAGGAAATTCAGCTTCATAACTGTCTCTGCATTGTTAATGACACTGGTTTTTCACTCTACTGCCTGTATATGTTAGATATGTTCCAAATGGCCACTGGAGCCAGTGGCTTGGATCCAAAGGAGCCCTTCCACTAGAGGAAAGCCTCTTCCACACACAGAAGGGCTGTTTCCAACCTAGCAGAAGAGCATTACGTGAGAAATGTAAACCAAAATCGAGGTAAGTTATTTGATTTATACAAATTACTTTAGACCTCTTCATAGCCCATGAGTTCATTCAACAGCTTAACCTCCATATTCACAGTGTTCTCACATTAGAAATACCTCCCCTGATATGTTGCTTTAATAGACTGTGAAAAATTTTCCATGAAGAATTAACTGAACAGCACAAATGTTTCTTTGGCTCATGGTTACCTAGATCCAAATCAAGTGTTACCTAGATCCTACTGTTAAATATTTGTTATATAAACATATTGTTTTTTTTATTAGCAATATTTTACTAACAAATATTGGATAAGTATTTTACCCCAAAATACTGTTAAATAACTTAACCACTGTTGGCATTAGCTAAACTGCTTTATGAATACAAACTCCAATATGAATACCAACTGCATGTTTTAAAAACACCTCAGTGGAACTGACACATGGATCTAGACATAAATAAAAAATCATCCAAGAACACATATTGCATATACAAATACAATATGCTTCAGTACAGTTTAAAACTTAAGAACAGGCCTGGAAAACCTGATTTTTAATTTATTTTTTTTACATAGTTCCTACAAATGTGACCTAGATGCAAAACAACAGCACAGTTATAAGATCTAGAAATATTACTGCAATTTAACACCATTACTATAATCCAGATATTCTCTTTTCAATACTAGAATAAAGCTCCCAGTGACACTAAAATATCCTTCCAATTCTTCCTCTTCAGCTTTCTTTAACCTTTTTTAAGGCAGGAAGAAAGCCCATTTCTTACTGCTACTAGGAATCAAAAGTTCCTGTAGATCTCTTGCAAATCACAGATTAGACATTGGGGCTATGTAAAACATTTGGAGGGCTGTTTTGCAAAAGAGTTACCATAAATGCTGCATCCCTACTTAAAAGTAGGGATTCTACCTGAGGTAGAGTCTCTGCAACAGCTTTGAAGGCTTTTACAGATTGTACGTCTGTCCATGCACAGACATCACTTTCAGTGGAACTGGTAGCAAAGCAAAACAAAGCATGTACACATATGAACAATCTGGAATCCGCTATCCTGAGCCTTCTATAGGACATGGCTACCTCAGAGCTTCAAAGGGTTCTTCAATCATGCTAACATATTTTCTGAATGCTTCACACAACCCCACCACATGTAGATGATGATAATTATGAATTCAATTTACATGGACGCATATCTCAAAAACATGACTCCAGTTGGCTCACAATGATAAAAAATGTAACCAATTAATAAATAACATATACAACAGTCAAGATAAAAAAAAAATCCAACCAACAGTTAAGATAACCATGATATGGGCTCTATCACACACCTGGGACCCGAGGCTCAGTAACAAAACCTTCTTCAAGGCTTTATGAACAGTCAGCAAAGTTAGGCCAAGTCTAATCTCTGGGGAAAGGATGGTCCAAAGGACTGGGTTCCCTTCCTAGATCTCACCAGATGACACTTCCTAATGGACATGACCCACAGCATGCCTCTCCTTTCAGATCTAACAGGATGGGTAGATACAAGTGGGAGAGATACTCCCACAAGTAATGCAGACCCAAGCCTTTATAGGTAACTACCAGCACCCTGAATTGAAGCCAGTGAAGCACATGCTGAATGAGAAGCACCCATAACTGCCCATGCTACTGCATTTTGCACCAGCTGAACCTTCCAAATGTTCTTCAAGGGCAGCCCCATGTAAAGTGCTTCGTAGTAGTCCAATTGGGAAGTGACCAGGGCATGAGTGACTGTGAGCAGAGCCTCCTGGCCCAGGAATGGATGCCAACTGGTGCATAACAGCTGTGCAAAGGCCCTTCTAGCCATGGCTGCCACCTTCTCTTTGAGCAGGAACCCTGAGTCCAGGAGGACCCCCAATTGTGTATAGGTTTCGCCTCGGGTGATGCAACTCCATCTGGAACTAAAGATGGAAAGTCTCCTGAACTAGGGGGGCCCAAAACCCAGAGCCACTCAGTCTTCCTAAGGCTGAGTTGAAGCCTGTTGTTCCCCATTCAGATCAAACAAGATTTGGCCAAATAAATCATGTATTCTGTTCTAGGTTAAACAATTTAGAGCAAAACTGCTAACAAAAATTAGCACCTCAACTTATTTTAGTGCTTTAAAATGTTTATACTGAATTTCTCAATAGTAGTTTAAGACAGTTATCTTAACACTGACATGCACATAATCTACTGTGCTATACATTTCACAAGACTTATTACACCTAAATTATTCAACCCTATGAAGGAGAAAAAGCCTCTACATGAGATACGGGGAACCTGAGTCCCCATGCTATGGTCCTGAAACTCCCTGAATGTGACTGATGAAAACTGACAAGAGTTTCCGAACATTTGCAAAACAGATGTATCACAATTTAAAAACTAAGAAAAACCTTAAAACACCCTACAAGATCCCAAACCTGACTACATGTTATGATGGGCTCTTAGCTACTCCACGGTCCTCAACTATTCTCAAAAATGGTAAATATAGTTCCCAACTTTGGGGATCATATTTGGGATTTTGAGACCATATTATATAAGCACTCTCACAATGCAGTTGCCGTGGAAGATGTACCCAATCACAAACCCATATAATAAAAGGCCAAAAAGCACTGGGTTGTATCAACCTATTACTTCATGTTCTGTGGTCTATGTAGGGCTGATAAGCATTTCAAGAACCATTAATTATTTCTGAGCCTTGTACTTTGATGGACTTCAAAAGAATGTGACAGAGGGCACACTCTTGTCCCTTGATGCCATGTTGGGGCCCAGCTTCTATAGCACTAACTTTTAATGGAAGGAAGTGTATTTATGCTTTTTAAGTCTGTGATTTCATAATTAAGAGTTCAGTTATTTATAGGATGAGTAACAACTTGAACCTAAACAGACTATCTAATATGATATTACAATAAATATTATGGATGGCATTTATCTCTAGGACAAGGCCATTTTTATAGCAAATAAGATTCTCAAACAAGAACCTGTATATACAAAACTGGGTATCAAATGAATATTTAAAAGAGCAAGTAAATACTATAACTTGGAAAAGAGTTACTTAAGGAATAATTTGAACATTTAAATCTGAATACTGTACACCTAGAACCAGAAATCTTTGTCCTTGATAGTCAACAGGACCCTTTAAGATATATGTCTTCATCCCATCGTGCAAGAAAAGCATTGTCTAGCACTACAGTACTGGCTTTATAGAAAGTGGCTCAATCATCCCTTTCCCTGTGTTTGCTGCCATTCTACAGGAAAAAAAATTCTTTTAATTCCATGTTGCTTAGCCCAGCATAAAGGCAATGAGAGCTGTCTTTTGCAGCAGAAAGGCTTGACCCAAATATTCATCTTCCAGCAAGTGAAAGTATTAATCCTAATGGAGAAGACAGACAAAAGCTAACATCCCACCATCTGGCAAAAAACTTTTTTTTTAAAATCTGTTTAAGGAGTTACTTTTTCTAAGTAGATTTATATAGCTTGCAGTATCACTGATTTTGAACTTTAAATTCTCTACCAAAGATTTTGGATCTTTTATACAATTTCTAACATGTATATCCATTGCTTAAACACAAGGTTCCTGTGGGGATTTTTTTTTCTAATCAGGAGGAATTTAAACCAGGATGATACAAACAAGGTTATGATTTATCTTTTTTATAATTAGATCTAAGAGAACTTCAGGTTACTGAAACAGCTCATGACAACATGAAACAGGATTAGTGTATAGTACTGATATAGGTTACAAAAACAATGGTCCCTCATCTTTTTGGGCCAATGAGCACATTTGACATTTTGATGTTCAGAGATGGCTGCTACAATGGGTGTGACTTGTCACAAACCTCAACTTTTATCAGAAAGGCAAACTGTGTGTTGTTTCCTGCCATTCTCTTTAGTTCTTTGTTCACAAATACTACCAACTCTCATCTTATTTTGTCTCTTTTTTGGGTAGGTAGGCAAAGCATTGATTGCAGCCACCAATCCCTTTTCATTTCTAGAAAGCATGTGGAGGCTATTTAGTATTCAAGGGCAGTCTTGGAAACAAAAAATACTTTTGGAGGATGTTTTATAGCATGCCAACTTCCTTCCTCACTCCATTTTCTGGGAGCAATCTCACCCTCTTGATCATGCCCTACTACATTCTGGCAACACTTCTCTTGAATTTAGTTTTCAGAAGTAACAAAATTGCTACTTTAATTATTTCCTATAACATGGTATTTTTAAAGGTCTGATTAGATCCTGATACAACAGCAATACTTATCATCAAAAAGAGAAAGCACTAACTATACAAAATACTTGAAAAGAACAGGAACCATAAATTAGTGAAGACATTTTCAAAGTATATAAATATACACTATGCAAGCTACAGATAACACATTTCATGTGCAGCATACCATACAAACTGATAAGCTATCTGTCTTACCTCATTTTCTAAATGCACTAATAACTTACAACGTTCTATACACTATGAAATAATAATTACCTGATTACTATAATAAAGCACTAAAGTCTTTTTTAATATGTTGGCTATGGCTGACATTTAAGAGAAAATATTTTTGTCATATGTAGATGACAACATGCTGAATGCAGTCAACAAGTGAAGCATTATGAAGCATTACTTTTGCCTCACATAAATATATGTTCTGTCTTATGCCACTAAAAGCAGCTTACCTGACAATTCAAAGTAAGAAATTTAAAACAAAACTTCCTTTAAAAAGAGGATTTAACATTTGGGGAAAAAAGTTAAAGCAAGTTTTACTGGCCACCTTTACAGGTTGGAAATATGATACTACGGCATTACCGGAACTGGAACTGACATTATCTATCCCTTGAATGGGAAACTAATGAGAGCCCCTAAAAACAAAATACAACTAGAACAATTATTTTACTTAATTGATTTTCAAAGACCAACAGATAAAAAACTGCTATGTTTATAAAGTAAATCAAACATGACAGGGTGAAATACATATGTATGTTTTAATGAGGGGTTTCACAATTATTTCTTTGGGAAAATAGTTTATTTCTGCAGAATTTAAAAAAAAATAAAGCATACTTTGTGGGAAATTCCAAACTTTTCATTAAGTATTTTTTATACATACTATTCTGTATACACTTGTTTGTTATTAAACCAAGTAATGCAGTTTTCTTATGAAACCACACTCAACACAAATGCTTATACACTGCCATTTATCTGTTAACATAAATTAATATGTAAGAAATCATGTATACTATTGCCAACAAAAAAAGAAAAGCACTGGTACCATTCCTTAGATAAAACACTGCTTTCAAAAACTCATCTCTTAGTTTATTATATTTTATTTTATAATTTAAACAATTTTTGGCATCAAAGGCAAGGAACAAAAAGCCTTAAGCAAGCAAGCAGATTACAAAATATCTTTAAACTATTCTGATAATGATGTAAGCTATTTTTGAAGGTAACATCTAACTTCAGGTCAGTAAGCGTATGATCTAATTATAGACCTAATGGAACAGAAATATCTATACTTTTTCCTGTTAATGCAATGGCCTACAATCCCAAACCCCTTTTCATTTTTCCAAAAGGAAAAGAAAAACTTTCCTCCACTCAAAACAAGCAGCAAAGCAGCATAACATCTTCCTGCCAAGATAACATTTAGTAAGCAGAGGAATTTTTAACTAACCGATACTGGCTAACCAAGCTGGTAGTAAAATTGCAAGGAAATACAACCCAAACATCACGTAGATGGGGAGAATACATATACAGATCTGCACATCTTCCTCCATTTCAAATAAAATGATAGAAGTAGGAAATTCTACCATCCACTGTCAAACACAATAAAACAAAATAATGTTGGTTGCTCTTCAGATTTAGGCAGATTTCACATGACTAGGTCAAACTAGAGACCTTTATTAAGTACTCTTCTAGGTGTAATTCAAGCAATGTACCATTGCTATATTCCACATCATTTGTAAATGCATTGCCAAATCCATGTTATCATTTATCACTGTTCTGTTAATTGTGTTTTGTTTTCACATATCAAAATAAGTCTAATTCAAAACACAATACAATAGAAGAAATGAGAAAGGAAGACCTTGGGACCAGATTTGAAAACTGTATAAATGCAGAGTAGGGACTATCAACAGCCCAACAACCTGAGAAAGGGGCTGCAACCAATTGGTTGCATTGAAATGCAGGCTGGAGAAATAAATTCTAGATTCATTCCTTGGGACAACTGAGACAGTTAGATTCCTAGCCTCTATAGAAGCTGAATTTCACCTTTACTAGAGCTACTTTGTTCTCTCTCTGCAACAAAGCTACTTATCTTTCTGTGCTGTGTCCTTGACTTTCCCTGTATACAGGTTGAGTAGCTAAAGAGATGCATTGCAACAACCTAAGTGTAACCAGAGCTCCAAATACCATGCTATTTCTATTAAAAATCCTGTAATGAAGGGAGGCAAGATGCTGGGACTTGAGTTAATGCCTTCTGTAATAACTTCAACTTTATTGAAATAAGTTATTAATGCCCTGTTTAAATCAATTTATGCACATTTCTCAAAGTGAAGCTTTCCAAAAGAGCAGCTAAGCTAGCCTACAAAAGGGATAACACCATTCCATGATATTTTGAAGAGTAAGATGCTCTATTGTGATCTGAACTGATGCAGTTTATTTCAGCTGGAGACTCACCTATAAAAATTGTTAAGTAAATTTACTTCCCTTCATCTTTAAAGCACAAAAGTATTTTTTTAAATAAAGCAACACTTATTCCAATGTGGTTATATGATCCAGTTAGAAAGATTTTTAAGCATATACAATTGAAGGAATATAAGGAAAGAGGGAGGGGGTTAGGCAGGACTACTATGAAAGTCATAAAACCATCATAATTGCAAGGTAATAGTTATTAATGTAAAGATAATCCCATTACCTCAAGAAGCAATAAAACTATTACTGTAAAACTCAGTATTTTAAATGGACCCTCAGTCAATGAACTTCAGATGTAATGTGCAAAATGTGAATTTGGACTTTTTCAGACAATGTTCATACAGTCTATGTAATTTCTGTACATGTCACCTAAATTATATAAAATGTACGTATGAATACAAACGTTTGGTTTAAACAGACCACCTTTCCTCTCAATCAGTTCATGGAATTGAAATTGTATTTTATTGTATTGTATATGTTTTCTGTCCTGAAAAGGTAGCATGATTTAACACATTTTTGTTTTGGGGAGGAAGAGGACGGGAGAGAAATGCTGGGGGAGCAATTATGTGAAAATGAAAATATTACATTCAAATGTATACAAAACCCTTTGCCGCTTTTTTCCCTACCACTTTTAGAAACCTAAAAAGTGAATTATGAATACTGAAGAAGGGAAGTTGGGCATCCAAAATTATAAATCTAGAATATGAATGTTTTTTTAAACAGAAGTACACATTAAAAAAAAAACAGTGAATACTTACTTCTTACTTCGCTCTTCATGTCCATTGGCACTGCTCAATTTGTTCTCATCCTAAGCAGGGTTGATAGAAGAACATCGTGAGGACGAAGTGGAAACATTTCAAGTGGTCAAAAGGGTAATGGGGACAGGGATAAGAAAATACAAAACAAAAATTTAATACTAAATTTTACATTTAATATGGAGTGCTACTAATTAACGTAGACTTTTTTAACCACTTTGCTGCTTACATTTAAATCATACAACTATAAACAGAAAAATTACTATTTAAAAGTTATTTAAATTGTACAAACTTTCTTACAATGAAATAAAGCCATCCTGCAGTTTCCAGCACTCAAGTGGTTAAACAATAAAATATAAACAAGAAATATCAAGTTTAAAAGGACATTCATGTACTATAATCCCTTTTGACCAATACCAAGGCTATATTTCTGCCTAAGCCCCAAGTGGCCATGCTAGCAGCCAGCCACTATCGATTTCCTGTGACCGATGCCATTCCTGAGATCTTCGCCCATTTTCGTTGGAGGGTTGGGACTGTAAGAGCTTGATGCCACCTCTGTCACACATCTCGCCCTGAAGCAAACAGGGATTCACACTGCTTTAGTAATGTCGACTCCCAAGTCATTCATCAAAAATCCAACCAGTCCAGCCTAAATATTCCCTATTTCCAAACCTGTTTACATGGAAAATATCCATGTTAAACTAGCACACAACATACTTAACATTACAAATTATGTTCATTTCAAAATTTTACATAGCTACTAATTATATAAAACTAAACCATGAACATTTAAAAGGTTACAAACACTTTTCCAAAATTCATACCGCAGAGCTGCACTATATATACTCCAAAATCAACTAACAGTTGCTGTTATGTTTATTGTAGTTATCACACCAGTTACACCATGAGTTCAACTGCACATTAAGTTTTAAATGTATATGTATATATCAGTTTGTGAAGCCAGTGCTACTGCATGCATAATTTCATAGTTTTATGAAGATCTGGTGAAAAACTAAATATATTTGCTACCTGTTTAGATCTGAAGCTAGGTATTCAGTACTCAGAAGCACAGAAAAGGTATATTAAAGATTTCTAAAAAGTTACTAGATAAAAGAGTACTCTTTCACAATGAACGTAGTTTGAAATATCTTTCATGTTTACTAATATGTGAACTATTCAGGGATCCAAGAATTTTGGAAACAACTTTCACATAACACTTTACCATCTTGTGTTGTTAAAAAAATTAATAACCCGTCTTTAAAAAAAAAAAAGCTGAAACTCTTCTTGCATTAATAAGTAGACTAAGGATTTGCTTGTCATGAACTTAGGGAACAGGTTATTCTTGGAACCCTGCTGTTTGCCCAAACCATTGCATTCACCTTGTTGATCTATCAAAATTGAGGTGGTAGTTTTTAGGAGAGTGTTTTTGTTTGTTTGTTTGTTGTTTTACCTAGGGGGACCACGGTACAGCGATACGTCACTCAATTACTACCTTATGATTGACAGTTCACACTGGAATCAAAGGTGAATTCATGGGAGTAGAGGTGAGATATCGTTAGGCAAGTCTACAAAGAGAGATAGATGGGCATTTATTCATCACGCTGAAGTGAAACTACTGCACAATATAATTACATTAACAGCATTTAGTTACTCGTAAGATACACGTAATGCATGTCCAATAAGATAAATCATGAGGGCTCCGGGGATGTTAGTTTACAGTTCAGCAGTAGTTTCATGAATAATGCTAAATGAATATTGCTAAAGAACTTGTTAGCATATTTTCTCACCTTCTTAAAGGGGGCTTCAAGCATTGCTTCAATATCAATATCATCAGCCATTTTTTCAGGACACCTAGAAACAAATAACAATATCCTTTAGTCAAGAATCTACTTCTATATTTGTGATCAGTTTAAGACTTAATGGTACCACATTTCCAAAGGATGTTGTTCTAGAAATATGCAGTAAGTTCAGCTAAACTGAACAACTCATCCACGTATTTAGTATTTTTCTCTCAAAGAATGAATCAGGTTCTTATCTTAGGAAGTACTTCATAAACATATACTCTACATAACTAAACCTTTTGTTAATGAATTGAATTCTCTTTAAGGAGCCACAGCAAGGTTTTAAAAAAATCTAAAAGATTAAGAAAATAACTTGTTTACTCAATGTGATTACCAACTTTAAAAGAAAAACACATATTATTTTAATCCATTGTAGAATTTCTGAATATAGATTTCACAAAATCATTGCTTCCTTAGTTCATATTGCAACTGTGCTACAGCAAGTTTTTTTTTCAGCTTCTCTGTTCCAGGCCATACCTAGATTTCAATCATGGGCAAGCAATGCAAAGGAAACATCCTAAACAACCCTTCTATACTGAACGAAACAAAAACTCTATCCTGAAACTAAATAATGATTTTTAAAGTCTAAGCAAGTTACTATCCTTAACGACTGGGATTTGTGAAGGAAACTGTGCTCTTAATGGTACATATATTTTCTTCTAAATAAACAAAATGGAATGCTCATTATCACTTTTGGTGAAGTCTAAATGGTTCCTTACTCAGATTAAGAAGAGTCTGTTCTTCTAGAATGCTTCCTTGAGATTTATTTTCAATGTAACCCATGTAGTGCTATTGCCTTACCTCCAAAATGTGGGAGAAACATCCCTATGATGGAAAAAAAAGCTCATTAGAGCTTCAGACTGGAAGTTCCTCATGAATTTGATGATTTCCTATCCCCCGAAATCTGCCATGAATCATTGACTCCTTGGGTCAAAAATTCGAAACAGATTAGTCACGCTATCTTGAATAATCTCTTATATGGAATTAGCTAGTATAGATTCTCAAATGCAAACTTCTAATAAATTTCTGAGTTTGTCATAATAATGATTATGACCAAATACTTCAATGAAATGGAAAAGTTTAAAAACAGCAACATATAAAATGAAACCAAGTATGGGAATTGAAATATAGTTGTGTATAACATCTTGCTTCTCCTACTATACTTTAAGAAAGTAGTGTAAAGGTGGAATATATGATGAAATGCATGCCCATTACTGAATTCAAGAAATATGAAAAGGAGATCTGCCTTCTGTTACAGCAATAATTATATTCCTATTCAGATCTCCTGTATAATACACAGTTTCATACTGCTATAACATCTCATGTGATTGCAGTGAATTAAAATGATTTTTCAACTTCTTCAGAAACTCAAAATGCATGTCACACATAATATATCAAAGTGGCTTATTAAATCTGTAGGGATGCAGTTCTTTGGATCTACGGTCAGACACATGGTTTGAAGAAATGTGGGGACGCTCACTGTACTTATTGGCCTCTCCCAGCAAAATGCATGTTTGAGTACACAAACATGTATTTTGCTAGGATTGTGTGGCTATTGTGAGATCCACAAAAAGGCACAGCAAGCACACTCACATCTCTTCTGAAAAATCATGTCTGCTTTGGATCCAAATAGCAGCACATTGCTAAAAATTTGCCATTTAAGTCAAGTTGAATCCAGAGTTTCTCAGGAAAACTTTGAGCAAATGAAGGGACCAACATAATGAGAGGAATAAATACTGAAGGTGCCTCAGATAATCAACTTCTGTCTCATGATACTCAATTTATAGAACTATTGTGCTCATATATTATCTACCTCTGAAACAAATATCTACCAGAAGATATAACTGTTACTGCTATGCAGAAAGCAGTATCTTCAAAAATCCTTTATTTAAGTAACATCATCCAGAATGTCCCATTAAACATTCAAAGCCCTATAGGAAGAGAAAACAAGCAGTACTATATAGAAAACATTTCTAAGCATGTTACAGAAAATAGAGTTAGGGATATGCTTTCAAATTATGTCCAGCAATTGATTAAATCTGTAGCAAATGACTCCACATAATGATATATGTTTATAATGATAGTAAGAGTACATAGGACTACATAATCAATAAGTTGCAACACAACTTAAGTAGCCAAAGGTCATAAACCTGTTGGAAAGCTAGCAACTAAAGCTAGCAAATACCGCCCCCCATGGTATTTGGATGAAAATATAATTATTTCCAAGAGCAGAAAAGAATTGCTTATGTTTTAGTATTTGTACAAGTGGCAAATCATGCTAGAATTTAGGTTAAAATAAAGTACAAATGCACTTTAATATATTTTCAGCACTGTACTAAGTAATATGGGGAATAACTGAACATCATCATAGGATGGGGGATATGACTTTGAATGATACTACAGAGTTAGATACTGGACAATTTAGCAAACTCACATCAAGGGAAACATATCCCAAAACAAAAAAATTTACTGGAAGATTTGCAATTTTATATATTGAAAGAACAGAACCCAGTACATGCCCCCCCCAAGTATACTCTATAGATTTATTCTACTCCCCTTTGTCTGAATGTATAAAAATTCCATAAGGTAATCTAACAGACATTATGAATTACAATTTTTAGAGATGGTGAAAATAGGCCTACATTATTAATTTCACCATACAGGGATAATACTGCCCTACAGTAAAGAGCAGTTCTAAGATTAATATAAAAACTTCTTAAGCATTTAAGAGAAGAAATATCAGTTCATGGAAAATTTGGGAAGGCACCTGTTAAAAATGCTGGCTTTTGGCATAGTAAAAAGAGCACAGCAGGAGAAAATCTAGCAGTTTAAAAGACAACATGAAATAATATGCTCATAAAGAATAGTATCATTTAACCAGAATCACCCTGGGGCCTATTTTACAGAATGGAATATAAATAATTTGAAGAACAGAAGTTTAGGATGCAGGCATTATAAATTGAACGCTTTAATCATCTGTTTTTGTAGATTAAATAATGATCTAGCCCAAGCAGGGCAATATAAACATCCCAGGCTATATAACTAAAATTATTTAAGTAAACAGAAATGTTAAAACCTACAGATTTAGTCTCTTAATAAGGAAGCCAGAACTGATGGTTTTCACTTAAAAGCCTGCCTTCCTATGTTAAAATATAAATTAAGACTTGGGTGCTAAACATTTTATGTCACAGCATATTACACCCTCTACTTTTGTACCAGATTACAGATATATATAATTATCAAACACAGAGCACAGGTGCTTGTTTATTTTTCATTTATTAGAGATATCCTGATCTAACAAGTTAAATACTAGTTTTGCTTCTTGGCAATCTGACCATTTGGTGTAGAATCCAAACAGCTAATTAAAATAAAATTGCATAGATAATGCATTTTCAGAAGTGGTATCCAGTTCAACAGATCATAATCCCCAATAAGATATAGCATAGCAACCTACAGTTCACACAGGCAAACTCAGGTATAATTCTCCTCCAAAGAGACCCTGCCCCACACGCATGTTGCACAAACCACTTTTGACACTTTTCTGCATTTCAAAACTAGCTTGTGACTTAGCATGGGAGTAGGTGAACTACAAATTAAAGATCAGGTTCTTAAGCAGGATGGTTTTGACTACAAACTGTCTAGTTACATGAGTGAAATATTTTTGAATTGTCAAGCAAAAAATGCATGCATTTATCTAAAAACATCAACAAAAAAACTACACACATTTTGTTGGGAAACAAACCACGTGTATGGATTTCACCTCTGCAGATATATGGAAAGTTCGTTTCCCCCTCCCACCTGAACATCTTCGGCCCAATAAACTATTATTACAAAAAAAAAATACCACAGTAGTAAACAGACTTTCTACTCTCCTTCCAGTAGTTATTACGTTGGCTCTTTACTAAGCGCCCTTATTCTCTCGGGTCATCAGCCTTTCGTTAACACACAACAGCACACACTGCGAAGTTTTAAGGCCCTTCCCGCGAGAATATCTAAAGCAATAAAGAAATAGTTAGGAATCTTGTGGCGAAATATATCCCGATCATAATCATGAGACTCAGGAAGAGCGCTCTAGTCCAAGAAACCTTCCGCGCGAAAATAAAAATAAAATTTCCAAAACTAATCATACCACTCGACTTCCCTCGTTTTCTCCCGCCACCCCCGGGCACCACGCAGAGGCCTACACCACCCCATCAGAACTGGGACTTCCAGTCCGGCTAACCAGACTAGAATTAAACCAAAGACAAAAAGAAATGGGCCCGCCACCGAGAGGCCTAACGCAAACGCCCTTAAGCCTTGCAGAACCCGCGCTCCCATTTTCCCAGAATAGTTCATAAAAGGGAGCCGTGAAAAATATGAAAGCTATTACCTGCGCTGCCGGGCTCTCGCTTCTGGCTCAGGTGTCTGTGAGGCGGAGGGATACAGCCACTGCCGTCGTTTGCTTGCTCTGGTTCTGGATACGCGTGGGGAGGGGGGCACTGGCCCCTAAACGAGAAAATTCTCCTCTCAGCAACAGTGGCGGGCAAAGAGCTAGACCTGGCCTCGAAAATTAGTACGAGGAAAGCCAAGGAAGTTTCGCAACAAGAACGCACGGACTCCGCTTTAGCAAAGGCGACTGCTCCCTGAAATGGCGCCCGCCGCGTCCTGATGCTTGGAGGAGGATCTGTGTTGCCGCTATGGGGATGCCCAGACCTTGGAGCACGGGCTCTCGCGAGTTTTCCACACAAATCGATTGAACGTAATACCAAACTTCTCGCGATGAATGCACATCACGCGAGAAAGGTGTTCGAAGAAAGCCGTTTAGCGACTCGCAAGACTAGTACGTCGTTTATCTAGCCTCATGCAAAAGCGATGTCTTTTCCATCCGCGGTACAGACTCTCGCGAGAGGTTGGGTAATTTTCCTCGTCATAAAAGAAGGCAAAAAATATCTAGGCTCTAGGCAGGAAGTGAAATTGCTTGACTTTACGGACGTCAGTTTAAAAAACAACATTTTAAAGTCTTATGTTTATTGGAAATTTATGTTCTGGGTTTGGCAGGCTTGATTTTCAACGTTTTATTATTTGGAGAATAATGTGATTGTAAATACAGTAAATAAATACATTGCAAATCCTAATAATTATTGCCCAAATCAGTGAGACATTCATGGGATTGCGCATCATTCAATTACCTTACTTAGGTAAATAATACTATAATGAGATATAAATACAATTTAAATAATTTGGAAAAACAATGCATAAGTTTAAGATGTTAAGCATAAGTTGATCACCTGAATAATCTCTCTATCCATCACCCCCAAAACTGAACAGGACCAAATTTGGTTTGAGGTAATTGATTATATTCCATCAAGTCGGTATCAGCTCTTAACAACCACATAGATTTTCCCCATGACAATCTGTTTCCAACAGACAGACCCTTCAGGTCTTCCATCAGTACACCCATCACTGCTGTAATTGAGTCCATCCACCTTGCTGCTCGTCATCCTCTTCTTTTTCCTAGTATTAGAAGTTACAATATTTCTTCGTAATGTGTTCAAAATATTATAGTTTGAGACTGGTCATTAATGCCTCGAATAAGAACTCTGAGCTGATTTGTTTGATGATCCATTTGTTTGTTTTCTTGGCTATTAATGGTATTCTCAGAAGCCTTCACGAACACCAACGTTCAGAAGCATCAATGCTCTTCCTATCCTGCTTCTTCAAACTCCAGGTGTAGAGAGAGAAGCTGGCAAAAGAAAGACTGAGCTCAAAAATGGGTCAAAGCTGGCTGTAGAGAGAAAAAAATTCCCTCTCCCTTTGGGGGAGCCATTGGGCAGTGATTCAGAGTTTTGTTGACTGTTTCCACCTCTCCTTCCTCCCTTCCTTCCCTCTCTCTCTCCCCCCTCCCTTTCCACACACACGCGCACACACACACTGCACCTGAACAGTAATCTAGAGCCTGAGCCTGCTTCCTAGTGTATGCATACAAACAAATAAAGGTGCAGCAGGAGAGGAGAACAGAAGGACTCATACAGAAGCAACACATTACTTGGCTGCATAGAAGTATAGGTGCCTCCTCCAACTGCTGATAAAAAGGTGGAAAAAATGACAGTTTTTATAATGACAGCAATTGTCCTGCACTGCCAACTTAAATATATATTTAATCTAAGAGTATAAAAGTTTTGGACACATTATACAAAAATCTAGCACTTCTGAGGATGACCTCAGCAAGGTGGATAGACTCCATTATGGCGGTGATAGATGCACCATTAGGAGACCTGAAGGGCCAGGTTGGGGACGGACCATCCTGGAGAAGCTCTATCTATGTGGTTGCTAAGAGTTGACATTGACTTGATTGGACATCATCAGTCAATCAAATAAAACTTATAACCTCTGGCAATATTTCTAATGCTATATACAGTGGGGCAAAAAAGTATTTAGTCAGCCACCAATTGTGCAAGTTCTCCCACTTAAAAAGATGAGAGAGGCCTGTAATTTTCAT